TTGTGCTGAACGTTTTAATAAAAGATAGAAAGACTCAAACGTTTTAATAAAAGATGGAAAGACTCAACGATATATAGGCAACTGTATGGACTTTGGCTACGTTCCTTTAAAAATAAATCCAATTCTCTTATTAAGATGTCCCATAGAGATTCAGTTTTATGATAAGTTTACTTACAGATCATTGTAGATTAGGTAACCATGCTAGAAAATTGAATCTTCCTTTCCATTATACCTGTTGCTGCTGTGGGAAAGAAGATGAAAGAGCCTCTGATCTACATTGGCTTTGCCTAGCTTATGCACGACGGTAACTTAACACTTCAGTTCTTCTCTGATCTTGATCAACCGCAAGACCTCCCACTAAACAGCATTCTAAGCTTCGTCAAAGATTCCAGGTGGTTTTAAACCCTAAGTTTCTTTATTATACGGTAATATAATGGGCCAATGGGTTGATCTCTTTAGGATCGCCGGTAAAATCTAACCTAATCTAGTAATATTTTAAATTAGACAATACATTTTAATGAAAACTTAATACAAATTTAAATTAATCTCTATAGAATTTTATGATAATTTAATTATCCCTAGTAAAATTTTTTCAATAAATACGTTTTGGCACGGACGTAGCCAGAAGCAAAATAAAAGAATACGGGAGATAGTTGATATCAGTCATGTCAGAACATGACTAAAATAATTATTTTTTTTTTAGTATGAGTTCTTTAGTTCCATTCAATAGCTTTCACTATTTTTCGGATGTCAATTCGATGTATGTATTTAAGAATTAATTTTTTTTATTAGTATAATATATAATTTATTGATAATTATATCTCTGGTAAAGACCACAACAAATATAAATTAACTGAAAGAAAATTTAAACCACTTATATGTGTAAATATTTTATTATTCATAATATTCATTCATTAAATTATTTACTGAGTTCATTAAACATAAATAATCAATTAAGAAAACTTCCACTCTAAATCATCACAACTATGAAAGAGTAAAAGTACTTAATGACATTAACACTTGTATCTAACATAACATAAGCAAGTCAAATGGAGATAGATAATTAAGTAAATGTTACATTAAATAAACTTGAAGTCAATGGTTAAGGCAAAATTTACTAAATCATTTTGAAAATATTATATAATTTGTAACAAGCACATTCCATTCATGAAGACTATGTAACCAATCGTCGATAGTTCATGTTCAACATCAGTTCCAATCAAAGTGGACACAAAAGAGGAAACCTGAAATGCGGTAGTTCTATAAAAGGAAGCAATAATTGGTCAACAAAAACTTGGTAAGTGTTATAAACCGTAAAGCGTACATTTGATACGCACTTGCGTTACAGTTTCAAACCGGTAGATAGCTTTGAAGATTATTGTTATGATTATCACGTTTATTGTGGTGGAATCTACAAGGTTTTGCAAATAGTTTCCTACAATTTTCGAAGCGTCTTTTAAAAGACAATTATGAACTAAAAAAGTGGTTCCTCCATGTTATGGTTTCTTATTGTGCAATGTCGTTGTGAGGAGGTTGTGGATCAACTAAAAATTTAAGACAGCGAAATTTTTTATTAATTGTCAACAATACAATATGGAACACAACTTTCCTTGTATAAAAATGCTGCAACAAATGTCACTGTAATTTATACTTCTAGTCAAACGAACTAAGATTCAATAAATGAACTGCATTTTAATTGAACTATTAACATTCTCTCACAAACTTCACTGTCTTTTTATATATAATTTTGAAAAAGTATTAAATAATTAGTAATAATCGTAATTATTTTTTAACCGTATTTAAAAGTTAATAAATCGTATAAAAATCACACCTTATGATCAGACGTCAAGCTCGTGCATAAAGTATTTCAAAAAAAAAATTCTGTTTAATTTTAAAGAAAAAATTTATTAATGTTATTAGAGTTTAGAATTAAAAAGATGTTTATTGTCACAATTCGTTTTATTATATATTTATTTTATTTTTAAAATTCAATTAGTTTTACCGAAAATGCTACGTTTTCTTATAACGACAAATAAGCTATTTTTTTTAAATTTAGAGGATTTCGAATAGCAAAGAAAGAAAGGACAAACACAAAAATTTAGTTCACATATTGAAATTTGACTAACTACAACCCTCCAAATATTTATTTTATTGTTATTTCTAGAGTTGTAACGGATGTATAATATTTATCTGCATCTGCAAGTGATGATCATTGCCATGAAAACGGATATTCTTATCATAATTCCCTTTATTACATTAACTCCATTATCCTCATCTGCGTCTTAATTATTTGTTCAGAAACTTCATTACAATTGTATATGTTTCCGTTTGCTTTCGGAACTATCGAAAGATAACCCTGTATAGAGGCTTGAGTGCCCAAATATGAATATGAGTAATTTTTTCTTTCAAAGTAGCAAAAAAATACTCGCACTTACAAAAGATAACTTGTGAAGCAACAACAATGCTCTTAAAATTTTCAGAGTTAGGTTTTTCTCGTAAAAAATTTTAAGTCTGAAGTTTCAGTGCAGCCAAATTCAAAAATCAGTCTATTGTGAATGTTCACTGGAAATATGTTGTAAAATTTCAATCATTCTTTAAAATCATATGAGTATTTAATTTACTAATAAATAAAAATAATACATAAAAAAATAAATTAATTTAAATTTATTGGAAAAAAATGCTCATAATATTCATTTTGTTTTCTTCTATTTAAATTAATTAATTTTAAGCGTTTTAAATTTTTATATTTCATATTATACACAAAACAAAACAAAAAACATATGTATGTCAAAAATAAGCATTTAACACATTTTAAGTGATGCCAATTTGTTTCAACCATACTTGATGCTTTTTTTTTACAACTCTGAAAGAAAAAATTACGGCGTTAGTAAAAATTTAATTACAGAGAGTCATATGACCAATGGTTGCGATAATTTTACATTCTTTTTGATCATGACCATAATTATCAATTTTATACTTTTATTATTATTTGTTTCTAAATTTAAAAAATATTCATTTTTAAGTGTATATGAGTATATATCCATAAAAAAAATACACATGATGAGTCACACGAACTCTCACCACCATAACAAAATTTAAGTTACATTCTAAGTTACATTAATCCAAATTTGATATGAGTATGACTCTCTGTAAATATTTAGATATAGATATATAAAAACATTCCTAGAAATATTTATTTTTCTAATAAAGAAGTCTAGAAAATAAAATTCTTTCTTTTTATGCAAATAATCGGGTTTATCGAAACACTTCGCAATCATATTCATGGCATTTACTTATTCAGTATGTATAAGAACTTAATATGAATGGATATAAGAAATTGATAATCGAATATATGTATAAATAAATAGAACGAAACAGTTTGTATTAAAATCAAAAACAAATTATAAACACTAAAGCAAAATCACCTTAATGGATTTATTTTCTAACCAAATAAGAACTACATATTCTTGCATACATATATACATATAAATTAGTATACAAAATACAATTCTTAGCTGGTTTATCATAAGGTTATTGAACATTGATGAGCACTGAATATTACTCTAGTCTATTTACCTTTATTTAATAACAGGATTTCATAAAGCCACCAATTAGTAGCAAGGATCGAAACCTTTTCATGCTTCTTACCTATTGGGAAAAATTCGCTGAAAAATTTGCTGAAAAATTTGCATCTCATATATAAAAAGTCGGTAGAACTTTCTAATAATATATTTGCGGTTCACACAAGTTAATTGCGTATATCTGGCTTTATTGATTGGTTTCTTGAACTTCAATAATTTTTTTTTTGACCAATATTGTAAGCAGAATAATTCAAATTTTAAAATAAATTTCTAACACTAGCCTTAATTAGACATATTTAATTTAACATTAATTATTTCGAACTCATTTTTATTCATTAGGTGATTAATATTAAGTTAAAATAAAAAAATAATACTTTTGTCTACTAATAACAATAATATTATTTTATTTCTAGAAATACTTTACTTACCTACATCCCTTTTTATTTAATGGTATTAAGTTTTTATAGATAAAATTCAATTACATAAAGAGGAATACCTTCACCTAAAATTTTGTAGTCGTAAGCAATATTATATTTCTTCCTAGCTTCATTCCAACTTGACTTCGATTTGTACTACAATCTGTTATGCTCCGCCTTCTTTACTCAAACACCAAAAAGGCAAAGTACATTACGTATGGGAAAAAGTAATTCATAAACCGAACCATAAAAACTTCCATAAAACGTATTGGAGGTCGAAAAAGAGAACTGTTGTACCGCATACGTTTATTGATTAAATAGAAAAAATCATAATCTCTACACGTATCTGTTATGACAGAATTGATGACTTGGTCAGTTAACAATGTTAAACAATTCGTGAAGATTTAGATAATCAAAATTTTTTCTTTAATATATAAATTATTTTTAACATTTCAACAAATAAATTTTAATTAATTAATTATAATTAATCATATAATTTTAACTAGTTTATTTTTATTTAATATGTATTGCGGTATATTAACTTACACAAGAAACAGACCAAGATATGTCTCTCGTTAATGTATCAGAGCCAGAGAATCTCGCAGCACGTTATATGCAGTCTTACCCTTTTCCATTTTCCATTACAGTTTTGTAAATGGGTAGTATAATTCATAAGGCCCTGCCGGAAATGTTGTAAAGAATTTTAGGTTTTTTATATTCCTAAAATCCTTAGATCATTTTAAATCAAACGTTCCTTTAAACAATTTTGGGTAAAAATTGGTGGACTGCTCCAGTGCATTATTAATTGTATCCCATCTCCTTTCGAATTGAAGGAGAAGAAATTATAGTTTTCTAAGCCATAAACTAGATCAGGGCCTTCAAGCAGCTAGACTGTTTTTTTAACGTTGCCTGAACGTTTTTTGATTTTAAATATTCTTTAAGTTTTGTTACATTTACTTAATTTTAATACTTAAATAATTGTATGAGCAATTTATTTTTAAACTTATGACGCCAAAACACAAGTTGGTCCTTTCCTATCTTCATGAAATTGCAATAATACCAACTCATAGGTAACAATTGTTCCAGCGACCTAAAATTTACACATCTCCTATTTTTAAATATACTTATATTAAAATTCCACACTTACCGTTAAAAGTAATTTTCGTGTTATATTAAAGAATTTTAATCCAGTCAATGATATTAGGTCCGTACTGAGTTCCCTGTAAAAACGTTTTACCTCCGTATTGTATTCTTTCATGGATAAACATTTAATTAGTTTCAAAGGTTCAAGAGACCGATCATTTACTTCTGCTAGATAAAGCGATACTGCCAACGTGCGTGCCAGTAAAAATGATAGAGAAAAATAAAAATATACTGCATGAGCCACCGATGGCATTGTGCTGGAACAATTTATAAGGAAATAAAAAAGATTAGTAGTAAAATTAACGTAGTGTTCAGTAAATTTTCTATTGCATCTATGTCATGTTATTAAATCCGAAAAGTTATTATAGTCTTACTTCATGCTTTTCAATAGTTGTAGGCATACAGAATATAAATTATTCGCAAAGGATATCATTGTAATCCCGGAAATTGCATCATCGACGTCTTCTACCAAATCACAAATTGAACGATATTGTTCCCGTGAAGTAGTCCAGAAGGATTCCGATGGGTACTTAAAAAATATAATTCATATGTATACAAAGGAAAAGTTTAGTGCAGAAATTTTCAGAATATGTACAATTAAAAATCAAAATACTTAAAACTATTTTATTTTTGTATTATTTGTAAAAATTAATATTTACTTATTAATAAAAAAAAACTATATAAAATTTTACTACATAGTTTAGTCTTGTATATAATAAGTTTACTCTAACACAATTGCAATAATTTAAATAAATGAATTTTTTGCCATATTTATATATCATATTAGAATTGACTAAGAGTAGAAAGAAACACTCATCTGAATATCTTCACATAAGGAACTCGAAAGTTCTTTAGAACCCTAGTTCTTTTGTTATCTATTCATCAGAGTGCATCTCGCTTATTTACTTAATTGGACACAAAAACCATTGCGGGACTGTGCCTCTGCTGCTTGCGTGTAGTTTCTAAATGTGTGCGCTAAATGAGATAAGTCATCAAGTAGACTGATTAGAAAATTGAGTCATCCCCCAATTATTATTCCAACTACTACTTCAAAAACATTTTTCTCTACAGTTGTGCCTTCCATTCTCATGATATAACTAAAGTAGCGAAGGTATTGCATACTAATTCATTGAACAATATCAATATCTTGATAAAGCAACTACACCTTGTCTCCAATTCTAGTGATACTGCATCATTCTTTGAAAGCGACCATGCTTTTTATAATATTAGGGTGTTGACCATTTTTGACTCATCCTACAGAAGAAAATATAGGATGAGCAGTCTAGACCGTATTTTTTGTCAATGGAATGACAAATTGTCTACAGAGGACTTAGTTATGCTGATTTTCAAGTTAACATTGTTGTTCGTAGTTACGGCGGTACCAAAATGGGTGAAGTACTTCTCAAATATATTTGGTAAAGTAGTGATAAAGAATATAACTCTGCACAATTCTATTTCGTTTTGTAGTTTTCTATATTGTATATATATTCTACATCTACTTATGATATTTACTTTTCAAAAAAGTAATTTAAACCAAATAGTCATGCTTTTTCTTAACAACATTTACCAGCTTTAAATATTTATATACTGTGATAGTCTTGAAATAGATCCAGAACCTTTATTAAGTATTGACTGAATTGAATGAGGTCAAGAATCTTGTACCAAAGACTATTTTGAGCTTTAATAATAATCTTAGTTTGTGTTCAAGTCTTTGTTCAGGAAGGGTACAATAGATGTTATAGATCACAGTGTTGCATATTACCCCTTTCAAATAATTATAAACATATTCATTATATATCGATTAAATTTCTCTATTTTGGGGAATGTATTTAAAATGCTTTATATGTATATCATATTGAATTATAAAACTAAACAAATTTTGACTACTAATCTAACAGGGTGCAAGTTTTATATCGGAATAATATTAAATATGTTTTGTACTTACTTGTTTTTGTGACCGTACCATATGACGTTGCAGCTGTTTAAATAATGATGACAAACCAATCGCTACAATTATCACAAAAATATCCATATAACTCCAGCCAAATGTCATTAATACAATTTCTGCTTTAGCCAGCCATGCTAACCATGTTGAGTAGTCAAATACAATAAATATTTGTGATGAAACTCCTACAAAATATGCCTCAACTGGATCCTTATGCTTGGGATCGGGGCAGTAGTTAGCATAATGTATTGCAGAGATAGTGCTAAGCAAATGTTCAGCTACAAGGTAATTTCTATTATTATTTAATTATAATCGAAATTGAATGTTAAACTATACTTAATGACAAGACAACCAGAACGAACAGTAGTATTTTAACTGTACTTGCTAATTCTTCACGCTCCTGCCAATTCGCGAATTTCGGCAAACCACCTTCCACACGCTCCCATTTTCGCATCAAACCCGGCCATTTTACTGCCAAACGCATAAACTCTACACTAGCGCACAATATGGTAATATGAAAGATAAGCGGTTCTATTTGAATAACCGGTGATTTACATATTAGAAATTAGTTTAGGGTAAAGTTCAAAGATTATAAAAATATTTTACCAATGTTCCTCGCATCCACATTAGATTTAACAATCATATTTATAGTAAAACATGTGTCCACTAGAGTTGTTAATATGTAAATCAAGCACATCCATGTCCGGAAACTTTTCCAACTAAACGAAAGTCCTTTGGCGGTTTTGTGATTAATCCCACGTACTGGCATCAAACAGAAACACTGAGCGATGATAAGCGCTGCAAAGTGATTTGTATTCAAATTTTAAGTACTAAATTCTACAACTAATAGGATTTACAAAATTTAAAATATAATCTATAAAAATAGAAAATACTATTAACAGTAATTATAATATTAAACTTAAAACGAATTTAAATTAATGCTATTAACGACAATTTTATTTAAAAGGGAATTTACCTTTTGGAAACACAATAGTTAATTTTTTTTAAATCTAATCCTCTTATGGATTATATTGTCTTATGGATATTATGTATCTATCATAATAGTTAATTCTATTTTAATTACTATATAAGAGTGCAGCTTTTATGTAAATAAAATAAAATTAAATTAAAGTGCATAGCACAACTGCAACAAATTACACTTCATTTTTCCATCAGCTCTCGCTTAAGGATATTATCAAAGGAAAATATTTATAATTTCTTCAAGAAAATTTCTGAATTTTTTTAAAATTTCAGTTTGTAAAATATTGGAAAAATATTTCTACTTCAAGCAAATTCTTTTTGCACAAAGCAACCATACTCAGAATCATACATCAATATCTGTTTCAGAGCAAAATACTCAAGTATCAAAAATAACTCAAGTATCGGTTATCAGCTCGAGGCAATAAAAACTGTTGAAGTATTTAATGAAAAATATCTTCTTTACCTGAAAACTTTTGCAAAAATTGTATCTGGGAAAGGACTAATACATACAAAATACATTAATTTGAATAGCAAAGGAAATTCTTTCAATATTTAATAATTTAAAACCAATAAATTATTTGTTTTTACTTAATTTTTCTAAGTACTAAAATATGCAATATTTATATTTAGCATGGTAAAATTCAAACTTTAGCAACCATGGTTTTTTGACTTATAAATAGTTTAAAGAATATTATTTATCTAATAAGTATCTATTACGAAAATAGAAGCATTGTCCTGTGCACTGCATGTTATTCTGGTATATCAATAACTCCAATAATATTCCAATAATATAATATTGGGAAGGGTTCGAACAGTAATGAAGTAACAACAACAAAAATTTGATTAATGTATTGAAATTTGGCTAACCATTAAACGCGCTTTCGAGTATTGCCAAGTACTCCTCAACAGTGATTTAAGAAAATATTTGAATTAGTTAATTAGTTTATAGTCCGTATATAATTTGTTTGGACCACAAGTGCCAGGCTTAGAACTCGTGCCTGTCAAATTAGAAACGATAGCTAATAATGTATTTGTCATAAGTAGCCAGGGCTGCATAAACTTTTAAGGCTCAAGTTCCAGGTTTTTTTGTCACTCTTTATTTAATTATTGATACTAATCAAAACACTTGCCGTGCTTTAAATAAGAACGAACTTCTAAACTACAGCTTTCTTTTGAAACACAAGTTCAACGAATTGAAAGTTTTTTTTGTAGTTGCCTATTTTTTTATTTCAAGACTATTTTTTTGTAGAGACATCTAATATTCATATCTTTACTTACTATATGTAAAGCGCCTTTTTTGGTTGCAATTTTACAAAGAAGCTATGGAAATGTTACTCTACAAGTTCGGTAAACGGAATAAGAATAATTGATTTACTCGAAATTTTTGTTGTTGTTTCTTCTTTGCTCTTCAAACACTTTTAGTTTCTTTTCGTGGTAAAACATGACTCATACGATAAAAAAAAAAATTACGTTAAAAATTAAAATTATAGGAAATATGAAAAAAATTTTGTTCAGCTTTCCTATTAGCTTTAGTGAAATTGTAGTTCAAATTTTTTGTTGTTGTTTCTCCATTACTGTTCGAATCCCACTAGCTTTTTTTCGTCATATGAGGTGTCATATTCGATAAAAATAATCAATGTTATACAATATGTTTGTTGAAAAAAAACTCGAAGTTGTGATTTTGGTTTCAATAATAGAAAAAAGTCACAAGAACAGAAGTCTGATGAGTGTAGTGCTTGGTCAATCACCTTTCTGGAGCTTTTGACAAAACTTTGTTGTTATTTATACGTGATTTTTAATTACCAATATAAATTTTGGACACTTATTACACAGAATGTATATATAAAGTAGACATCTGCTATGTCCGATAAAAATTATTTTAAAGTGACAAAAGCAATAGTGCAGAATTAGTCATTTTTATTTTATTTACTTTACTTTGAGCAGTTTTTGAGTACAAATTGCATATCATGGAAATGTTTTCAATTTTATTGAAATTAGTAAAATCTATAGCTTACCTGGTGTCACAGCTTCATGAAAACTGCCGTTATGAATGAAATCAGAGCGAGTGCCACGTCTAAAGCCACCTAAAAACATTGAAATTAAAGTTCGGCAAAATAAAATTCAGAATAAAAAATATATGAAACTTGTATAATTTAAAATGACTTTAAAATAATAAAGATTAAGTAAAATGATGCTAAAAATTATAAAAATATAATAAAATAATTTAATATATAATAAGAAGAAGAGATTTTATATTTTAGATCAAAATTCAATCCAATACTTCTATAACAAACGTATACCTTTCTTGTGAAGTGATTTATCTTAAATATTAAAATAGATATTTCCTTTGATTAAACTACTTCTGAAGTATCATTTTTAAACGGCTTACGAGTCATCCCCTTTGACGACAGAGTACACGTTCACATTGCTTTTATATTTTCATTGCCATCTCCCTAAGCTTTCCATTCGATTATTTCCATTATATGAGAGTTTCTTTATAACTCATCAAATTATCAGTAAGTAGTTAATCTCCATGGAGTAGAGTTACTAAAGCACTGTATAAGCGATTATATAAAACGTTTTTAAAACAGAAAACATTGCTTTATTAATACTCAAATATGGTCTTCTTTTATTGTTTTGAAATTACTACGCTTCATCTTAATGAGTAGTAATATGATTATCACGAAAGCTTATTAAGTTTGTTTAAAGAAACGTTATTTAGGAATAATCATTATATGAGGTATGTAAGTCTCGGGATGTTTAAGCAATGTCCGTTTTAAAGAATTTAGTGGAACGCCATTTACGAAAAATCATATAGGATTGTATGAGGAAGATAAGTCTCTAGACGTTTTAAGTAATATCCTATGAAATGAATTTACTGAAAAAGTCTATAATATAGTTTGTGAACGAGCATTTTTCAAAATAGTTTATTTATTTTGTATCGATCCTACAAAATCCAGGTTCAATCTTATTTCTTCAAGCTTATGCTCCGCTTAAATAATTAGTTTTACTAGCATGAATGAATTGAACTTAAATGACAGGTATGGGATCTATCGAATGAATTTTTGTTCTACACTTTAAAGAAAAAGAAATCGACCCACCCTAATACCAAAATTCTTTACGTTTTAATCGGTAACTAGATACAATTATAAGTTTATATTAGTTTTAAAATTTAATTATTTATTTTTAAAAATTAAAAAAATATCAGTAAATAAATTATATTTATTTATAAATAAAACTAAAAAAAAAATATTCATGTACATAAATATGTGTTGCTCTTAAATATTACTCACGTGTTTTAAATTTTTTTTCGGCGTCCTCATAATCCTGCAAGGAGCGTATTAACTTCATATCAAATAAATGCTTTTTCCTTTTTGCAGAGCTATTAATTATGTTCGGATATACATATTATAAATAATGGTTCAAATAAAATATAAATATTATATATTAATAATAATAATAATTAAAATGAAATTTTATTTTTCTTGCCTTCATTTTATTTTACTTTACTGTATTTTATTGATTTATTTTTAAATTTATCTTAAACATTCGATTACTTTCAGAAAATGGTTTTCTTAGGTAAATCAAATTTAAATACTATGGGAGGAAAATTTTTCTTCTTTAAAATGTTCATAAAATGTTTGATGTTAAATTAAAAATTAAAATTGAAGAGAATTCAATATATTAAGGACAGCATACTGACTCATTAATATTCTTTATATATAAATATACAAGAAAAAAATTTGTTTGAATAATATCCCTAGTTTAATTAATTACTTTATAATTGGAAATTTTTTCCAAGCACTTTTATTTTCTTTAATTTAAGATATTTGTAGTTTTAATATATTTCATAACTGAACTTACTTCCTCATTGCATCGTCGTCCTTTCCGCTGATTTTTTTCAATAATAATACCGACAAATTCATACAATTTTTGACTTTTCCCACAAAACCTTTGTTTCGTCGTAATTTGTGCATAATTAAAAGCTACTGAAGTACAATGTGGCACCTTAAAGATTTCCGTAATTACACCAACGGTTGTCTAAGATATTTTTTCTTATTTTAAATTATGCAAATTTTACTTAAGCAGACGATAAGCACAAAATTCACTAAAGTGTGATTAACTGAACGTTTTGCTCAGTACACCATTTTCCTACAGCACCGCAAGACCGGAAACGGAAGTGAACTGTGAATAAACTTGAACTGAAGTGTGAATGAAATAAAAATTTTTAGTTATTTTTTTTTCAATTTTATATTTTCATATTTACCCTTCAAACTTGAAATGTTCGCTCATTATTGTTAATGTCAACATTAATTCTTAAGCTATCAAAACGAATTTATCATAAAAATTTCCACAATGACCACATTTGAACTAACCTCTTTCTTTTGGCAGATTTCGTAGATATTTAAAAAGTGTTTTAGACGATAATGTACTTTTCAGTCTTTATACTCGTATATGGATAATTGCGATTTTGCGTTAATATATTTTAAAAACATATTTTTCGTACTTTAACTTAAATTTAATTTGTTTTTAATTGTTAACAATTTTATTGAAATAAAATGAATGCGCTGACTCTGAGCTTCAAATTTGGCAGATACGTAGTTCGATTCGTAGTACTTGCAGTCTCAATAAATAAATTAAAAATTATTTCCAAGACCACTGATGATGGGTATTTGGCAATACTCGAAACAGTTGTATGGTCACCCGAAAATTCAATTAATTAAAATAATAAAAAATGAATTTTTGTTGTTGTAGTTCACTACTGTTCGAAAAAAATTTCTTTATGAAAAGAACTATGTTAATTATACCTTGTCTTGAAATAAAAAATGTAAATAAAGTTTAAAAACTATAAACTTTATAGAGTTCTTAAACTATAAAGTTTAAATATAGCAAAACTATACGTTTTGTAATAATGTATGTATGTTGATACTTTTTCCAAGTCAGCGCAGCTGGGTACTTTACTCTTTGATAGCTGGGGGTACTACAGGGTCCCACCCGTCTCATTGACTAATTTATGTATTCCTCATAAGTTTCTTGATTATTCAGTGATTGATCTAAGATCTGCGTACCTCCCCGTGCGGAGAATGATTACTCTAAGATTAGATAGTGCTAAGTAGGATAGCCTCTCAGTTTTCGCATATAACGTCAGGGCTATGCACCTTATGTAATAGTAAAGTAATAAAATTTTTAATGCTGCAGTTCACTACTATTTGAGAAAAGCTATCTATTAAAATAGTAGTTTCTATAAAGAAAATTGTTTTTGTTGTCAAACCTGACTTTATAAATCAAATTTGATTTAATTTTAAAATGGTATTGTGAACTTTTATAAAGATCTTAAACTTCTTTCCTTCCTTCATCATAATTGATTTTATAAATGGAATTTGATTTGATTATAAAATAGTATATTAAACTTTGACAATTATCTTGAGGTTCCTTCTAAAAGAAAAGTACGTATTCAAATTTGAAAAGAAAATGTGTCGTAAAACAAATGGATGACAATGAAAATCTCATCCATATTGTTATGAAAAATAGCCTACGCACAAATTGGAGATGCGTAGAAACTTCCAATTGAATAATTCGATAAGCACGAGGCAATACATAAAATCCATATGAAGTTGACAGGTCCAATATATAATATGCCATCAGGTACATACATGTTAGTACTACTAAACATAAAATGAGATCGTAAATCGTTGGTTATTAGTACGATGTAAATAACCGATCACTTCTATGAACAAAAAACAGCGTTTAAAACGTTCTGCATTCTGATGAATGATACTGCAAGTTTTAATAAAGTAAGGATTATGCATAAAAACTCCAATTACAGATGCAGGCTACTACGTATATGAAAATATATCAAATTAGCTAAACCCGTAAGTAGGTAAGGGAGCGCCACATATGAAGAATACTGACTTTATAAAGACTGATAAACAAAGAAGGATTATCGTGTTGAAATAATGAACATATATTCTTATCTTATTATTATGATGATAAAAATGGTCGAAAATTTTTTTTCAAAAAGTGTAAACAAATACAAAAGTTTGTACCTTTCTACCGTCGACATATTGTAAAAGCCTAAGGGCCTAATATAAAATCTATTATGAAAAATTTATTCGATCAAATGCTGTAACCACATATAAATTGACCTAATCATTTTGTTAGAAAAATTTTAGATCATGTGGTAAAAAAGATATAAAAACCAACATGTGATATGATTGAACCCACATGATACGTCAAGTAAGAATATTTTAACCTGAGATGAAGTTAAAATATGTTTAAATCAACCAAATTATTTTTCTGAGTGTAGGCATCACCACTCCATATGCAGGTTAATTATAGTTAAATCAATCAAATAATTTTTCTTGGTGTAGGAGTCACCACTCCATATGCGTCCTTTACTATGCCCATATATATTTTGACTATATGTATAGTTTCTGTTTGATAGTTTACTTATTATCTTATTATCTTTTATTATTTTTGATTTCTTATTATCTTTTTAAATACAAAAAACATTTAAATAATGATGAAGGAAAAAAAAATTATGTGTTGTGTAGAGAAGCGTTCTAGTCCCAAAACTGGTTAGCAAAATTCGTTCCAAGAATTTTAATATTAAAAATGCAATTCGTTTCGGAGGTTAAGTTGAACATACTAAACTACACAATAAAGACTTTGATTAGTGCAAACTGCGAAATAACAAGTAGTTATATCGCTGAGTGATCCAACTTTTTAATTTTTATCGTACACGATCAAGTTAAATGATTTTGTTTAATTTCTGAAACAAATATATGGGTTCCATAACAGTCTGGATGGAATCTCTCAGGTCTTTGATTTGCTTTCTAACTATCAAAATAACCATCCAATTTATAACTTAATTATATGTAAAAATATGGGTTGTCTGCAACAATGTTAAATACAAGAGATATTGGAGTAAGAAAAATTAAAATAGCTTAAAGCCGATATACCATAACAATACCATAACTAATTCTAAAGTCAACTGACAACCACTAGACAACTTGTTCACTCAAATAAAAAATTAATAAAGATTAATAAATTGAAACTTTTTTTTATCCGCCAAGTTAATTTGAAACCTCATACAAATTTCTTAATTTGCTAAAAGGTTCTACACATTTCAAATTCTCTCCAGATTTAACAACTTAGGACTATCAATTGTTCTATCTCTATAAAGTTTTATAGGTTATGGTGCACTTCAAATAAAGACTTCAATAATGACTTTAAACAGTTTTTTGACAAAAAACTTAAAAATGTTGGAGTGGAATAATAATATCAGTCTAGTGCAGTGGTTTCCAACCGGTGGTCCGCGAGATGGTTAAAAATGGTCCGTAAATCAAATTTAACAGATATGGACACATAGGTTATAGTTTGTTCACTGAGACCTCACTTGTTAGAAAATAAGCACAAATAATTTCCAAGAATTATATACCTATTTTATAGTCTATATAATGTACGTATGCTATGCAGAGATGCGTATTAAAATAATCCTACAGTTTATTACGCTTAAAGTTTGTTGTCCCTACTAATAACAAAAATATCGTAGTGGTCTTTGGTCAAAAAAGGGTTGGAAACCACTGGTCTCGTATGTTAAGGCACATATTAAAAAGAAATGATTCTGTGAAGAACTCCTCAATAAAAGAGCGTCTATTTGGTTAGGATTAGTTCTAATAGGATATAATAAAATATATCAGCGCTCTGTTTTACTGGTAATCGTTTTCTGCTATATTAATATTTAACTCTTTTCGATACTAAAGAATAGTTTCTTTAACATAGAAAATTATTTAAATAGGTATTATAACATTATTTTATTGAAATTATATTTTTGTTTAATATAATTTTTTATATTATATAACATTTATTTTTATTTATATATTTAATAAATTTTTATGTATGAGTTCGATTTTTAACACAACTCAACAGTGTTGTGTCTTCATGAAATTGTATTAATACCAATTCATATGTAACAATAGTACCAGCAACCTAAAAAAATTATATGAATATAAGAACATAAAAATTCAATTTGGATTAAATATATTATATAGTACATAGAACACACATTTTGTAAAATGCAAAGTAAAAATTCTGAATATCAACGACTTCGGTTGTTGTGGGAAATAAAATTGCATTGAAATGCAAAGATTTTTACAAATGCATATTTTAGCTCTTGGCTACACTTACACTTAGTACGAGTTTCCTTGTCAAATGAAAAAATTTCATACCACTCAATGCAATCAGATCCGTGCTTATCTCATCAGCGAAACGTTTCACCTCAGCACACCAAGATTCCTTGGGTACACAGCGCAAAACACGCAATGGCTTTCTGGATTCATCGTGCACACTTGCGGAATAGAGCGACACTGCTAAGGTGCGACCAATTAAAAATATCAGCGAATAATAAAAGTAAATGGAATGTGCAGCAGAAGGCATTGTACTGTAAGGAATAAGAGTTCAAGTCAATACTGCCTTAACAATATATGTTAAAAATTCACAACCCAAATACTCACTTTAAGCTCTTTAATAACTGTACGCAAATAAAATATAAATTGTTGGAAAATGATATCATTGTAATGATGGAGATGGCATTGTCAATGGTTTCACAAAGCAAACACAAATTTCGGTATTGTATACGTCTCTCTGACCAAAATGCTTCTGGCATTTGCTATAATGTGAAAAAAGGCGAAATCATTTTTCCGTTTGTGGCGTATTGAATTCTTGTTATTTTTAAAAATTGTGTATTTTTGGAAAATTACTTGCCATGCCTTTGAAGTTCAACAAATTGTCATTAATTTGCTTGAATTTGGAAGCGAGTCCAATACTTATAACCATCACAAACACATCCATGTAATTCCACGAAAATGTTAAAAGTACATTAATAAATTTACCAAAAAATGCCAACCAATGCGAGTAGGAAAATATGAAAAATATATGATCATTAAAGTAAAGAAAAAAATTTTTTATCGGATCCTTATCCGTAGTAATGGGACAAAAGTTAGAATAGTGTATAACTGATATAGTGCTCAAAAGATGTTCACCTGGAAAAAAATGCAATTATTCATAAAATATAATATTTATTAAAGCAATATAATGAAACCAACCCAAAGATAACGTCATTCCTACAAAGGTCACCATTTTAATTTTTTGTGCCATCCTACGCTTCTCATATTGTGAGTTGTATTCCGGTAGATTGTTTTCGACAATAGACCAATAACACATCAACTTTGGCCACTTTTTTGCCAAACTGATAGTGTTTATTGTCACAATTATAATAGAAATATGAAATATAATTGGTTCTGCAAAGAAAATATTATTATGAATTATTATAAATATGAATAATTAAATAATTAATTAATAATTAAACTAATAAAAGTATGAATAATTATAAGAAATGTTAGATTTAACTGATTTCATGAAAACCACACTATGTTATCCAACAGCTATGAATAAATCAATAAAAATTAAATAAATTAATAAAAGTAAGGATATAAGTATTATTAGATTTAATTGATTTTATTTAAATTTAATTTTAAATGAAAAATTATATAAATTAATAAAAATTAATTAAAAAATTAAAAGTATGAATAATTGTAAGTATTATTAGATTTAATTGATATCATGAAAACCACATTGTGTTATCTGAAACCTATGAATAATTAAATAAATTAACAAAAATTAATTAAATAATTAAAAGTATGAATACTTATAAGAATTGTTAAATTTAATTGATATCATGAAAACCACACTATCTGAAAACTATGAATAATTAAATTAATTAATAAAAATTAATTAAGTTAATAAAAGTATGAATAATTATAAGTATTATTAGATTTAATTTATATCATAAAAACAACGCTATGTTATCCAAAACCTCATGAACCGAAATACTGTTTCAAGACATCATCTTATTTCATAAAAACAAAACTAAAACTTCGTTTACTACTATTTAATTATACTTTATTTACAAATTACAATTCAAAAATCATTTGACATTATGTAAGCCGGAACCTTTCCTTCAACAATAACATAATAATGAAATACTGTAGAACGTTCTACCTAAAGAAGATCCAAAAACCACATCAACACCTAAAGTTACCAGCATATGGTATAAAAGGAACATCGAATAATCGGCAGAGACGTTCTAATAAAGTCACGTTCTAATAAAGGAAAATCCAACTCTCTCATTGAGATGGCCCGTAGAGATATCAGTCTTAAGCTTCGTTTACTTACAGGTCACTGCAGTTTAAGTAACATTGCTAGTAGATTGAATCTCCCTTTCAATCGTGCCTGCCGCAGTTGTGGACAAGGCGATGAAAGTGCCTCTCATCTGCTTTGTTTTTGTACGGCAGAGTATCACCGCCTTACCACTTTCTTTTTGAGGATTTGTGTCAACTGCAAAACCATCCCTTGGATAGCACTATAAGCTTTGCCAAAGGTTCTACGTGGTTCAAAACCTCTAAGTTTTTTACATACGGTAACACAATGGACCTGTAGGCGCAAGTGAATCCCTTGGAATCACCCGTAAAACGTATCTATCTACCTAACAGAGAGATGGAGAGTCCAAAAATAAACATTTTTAATAACGAACTTTTGTTGGTAGATTAGCTTCAAACTTGGTTTATTGGAGAACAAAGCACCTAAACTCACAGCTCCAAAACTAACGCTAAAATCAGTAAAGCGGTGTTTTTATTTTGGTTCTACAAACTTGTTGAATAATATAATGTAGTATATTAAAAACTCTTATATGTAAATAAATGGATTTTTTATATATATTATACACACTACATATTTTCAATGTTCAATCAGAATTAAGGAGTCCGACTTACCTATTGTATTAAAAGTTATGGATCCATGAAGAACTTTATAAAGTACAAAACCCAAATCAATGAAAGTGAGAAGCACATATGCTAAGGAATACCAGTTGCGATAGTTTTTCCAAGAGTATGAGAGTTGCTTTGGACTCGCGGCTGTTACGCCTTTTATTGGCATAAGAGCAAAAAACTGTGACATCAGAATTACTGTCGAAATAAAAGAGTGTGATATAAATATGATATAGTTTAAAAAACAACTTAAAATAGCTGGTTTAGAATATAAATGTTACTATATTTGAAGACTTAATATGTTGCAATTACTTACATATGGCTTTTATACAATGCTAAATACATCCATGGGTCACGAAAGCTGACTTTGAAATAAGTGCGGAAAATACTAAAGGATGAAGAAGCGGCTATATTACCGCACCGTCATCAGTATAATGTTATCAATATGGAATGCGTTTATTCTACAATTCACCTTGAAAACTTTGTAGAGGTTGTGATACTAGTATGCATAATTAAGGCAAGAGTTGCCCAAAGGAAAATATAAAGTCACCTACAAGTATTGGGCAGCTGTCAAATGTCCAGTGAACTGATCTTGAGTGATCTTGGTCATTTTGCCCTAAATCTTGGTCAGCTGTCAAAGTCGCTCACAAGTCTTCATTAACAAGCGTACTTGTCCTAGTTTTTAAATACGCTGGGATGTGTGAATGTTCAAACCCAAGTAACTTATTTAATCAAAAATTCAACATTTTGCTTTATTGATGTTATTTTAGAAAGTTTGGTTGCAGACACATATCGGCAGTACCCTTTCGGCCCACAAAATATCCATACTTTTTCGTTTTAATATCACATTCCATGCGAGAATCCATTACTGAATCCATTCATTCGAAAATGTAATGTTTCGCAGTTCTATTATTCTTACTAATGAGAGTTCGACAGACTATCTAGAAACTATATCCTGCAAATCGTGTTTCTTCCATTAGCTAAAACTGGACAATCACAAAAAAAAAGTGTATTGATTTCTTTTTCAGCTAAGTTTCCACAACAGTACAGTAGAGTATACGGTGCGATTTATTTGCGTTGGTTCGTACACACCAGTGGTTCCCAACCATTTTTTGACATCTTTGATTTTTATGCATCTTTGGTATAATGTATTGTATGAATTGTATAAGTGCATAGGTGCATTATCTGATCTAATTGTATGATAGCTAAATCGAGAACGATATTACATATGTTATGAGTGACTTCCACCTATTATTAACTTGTTGAAGAAAACGTGAGTGGATGTGTCTCTAGGGAAATATAAGTTATCACACATCATTATATCTTTAGATATAACCAGTATTCTAATTTGTAAATCTTCTTCTAATATATATTTTCGTTAGTTATATAGTTTTTTATATATATAATATATTTATATTTTTTATTTTGCAACATTTTCAGAATTATAATATAATTTTTAATACTTCAATCATTTTAATGAAACTTAATTTTGATAACACAAATGATGATGTTAGTTGATGCCTTACCTTTACCCACAGCTTCATGAAAACTGCCATTATATAAAAGATCTTCATTAGTGCATTTTAGTAAAATTTCTGAGAAAATGTGAAAATATTTTGAATTAGAGATTTTGTGACATGAATACTTAAAGCTACAAGCAGCACAAATCTTACTTGGCAATGCGGTTTCTACATAACTTGAACTTTCTAAATAAAT